CTGACTTGCTCTGCTCCGTGTCCATTGGGAACTGTCGCTTGTGTATAGCTCTGTGCATAGCTAGCTTGTCCGCTATCTGGAGCCTGGCTGTTTATACCATCTGTGTTGTCATTTCTCGCCTCTTCGACGCCTTCCATGCGATCCATCTGTCGCGATCGCCCACTGCATCCATGTTCAAAACAAGAAAGCAAGAAATAAGACAAGAATTCGGCGCTAAGTGGGTACAAACCCTCGCCTTGAATACAAAAAAAAGCCCACGGGGGCTTTTGACTTCAAAAACCGCCCGGAAAATAAGATGTAAACAACGTCCAAGACAAATTTTTGAGACAAATCGCGGCCGCAAGAGTCGAGCGGCAAATCTTCGAAACGCTTCGAAAACTTCAAGTCAAAAACGTGGATATCTCAATAGCAAGAAATGTAATTGGTGGAGGGCGTGAAGCTAAAACAAACCTTTCTCGATTTTTTGTTGGCTAGCCGGTGTTTCGTTTGAGTTAGAGTAGCCAACGAAAACGCGAGTTACAGATCGCATGCGAGTGGCTGTTCGTTCGCCTTCTTCACCACTCACAAACGAGCTCCGAGAGCACAACTTCCACACGCAGTGATCACACGTCAATCAATGCGTCCAGCTGTCATAATCAACCAATCACAATCAAGAAGATACAAACCATTGTTCTTTTAAGCCAATAGGAGTGGACTTAAAATATAACACTGGCTTACTTTGCATAAATTACCTTGTCTTTGTTTGCGTCTACTGAAGTTCCTTGTCAAATTCATTATTTTTCGGCTCGAAAAATTACGAAATAACGTTTGAAAATCGTCAATTTGGAAAAAGAAATAACAAAGTTTCCCAAAAATACAGGAAATGTGCTTGAAAATGTTGTTTTTCACCCGGTTCCTTCCCAATCGCTTTCTTTATTTACCGCGCAATAAATTATGCATCATGATATTCGAGGGAAACATTGAAAATTATCACTATAAAAGAAGCGCCTATTTTTTTTTTCATTTTTTTTTTCAATTCGTAATATAATATTTTGTACCTTAGGACGTGGATTTTTCTGAATTTTTTTAATCTTATGTTATGTTTTGTTAAATTTTCGATAAAAAAAAAAACTGAAACAGCGCTTATAAAATTTGTACAAACAGCTTGAAAGTCAGTTTCACCTGTCAAAAACTCAAAAACAATTAAATTATGGGTGTGATCTTCCCAAAGGCTACGAAACTATTTCAAGGTTTGTTTTTTTCACAAAATACCCGAAATCAAGAAATGAAATAGTCCCCCCTTAATTTTATAAGGATATTTTTTTTAAACACGGCCACTTCATAGATATATTTTTAAAATCTGAACTAGCAAGCACTTCTAGTTCACGAAAGTGAATAAATTAAAATGTTGTGCGTCCGATTTCACAAAGAGGGTTTATAGAATGCGGAAGCGCGGGTGTGTGCAGTGCCGAAAAAAATAACTTGAAAGTTGAAAAGGCTGCACCTTGGCTGCACAAATAAATCAATGGACTCTGACTGCAGTTGTGGAATGATTTATCTTTTGTTTCTTTGCGAATTATCTCGATTTTGACGACCTTGAACGTGGGGGTTTGCGTAGTGGGGGGCATACGGGAGCTTTCTCTTAAATATCGGGAGGGCCTGGGAACGAGAGCCTTCGAGCCTTCGTGCGTTTGGTCACGGTATGGAACAGTTGAAACAGCTATGGAAAATTTGCTTGTTGTAGTTCTTAATTCTTGCCTCTTTATGCAGGGTTCAATTCCTACTGTTACCATCCCCCCCCCCCCCGGGCACACCCCCGGGCATTTGCCATTTTTTCTTCGCTTGGAGTCCTATTCCCCACCCCCGGTATAAAGAAAGAGGCAATTCCCCACCCCCGGGACACTTTAAAACAAACTGCACTGTTTCACAAGAAGACGGAAATATTTATTACGTTTTACAAAATAGATCGACGTGGACTCGTATGCATACAAAGGTCAGGAAACATCTCTCCCGATGTTTTTGTCTCTCGTCCGTGTTTCTTTGGCTTTTAACGCTCCTCTCTTGTGGTTTTTTCAAACACAGGTTTTATAAACTTGGACAAATTGTGTTCCTCCAACCAATCGCTTACAAATTGGAGGGCTTTCGGACTTTCCAAGCAAATACGTCCGCTAACTGGGACATGTCGGCCCGTGTGATTCGATGCCAATTTTCGCCCCACAATTCTTTGCGCAACTAGAATTATCCCCACCCCCTACCCCGGTACAAGACCACTTGCAAAATTCCCCACCCCCGGGCCACAAGGGCTGACTTTGTCCCGGGGGTTGCCCAGGGGGGGGGGGGGGGGGGGATGGTAACAGTAGGAATTGAACCCTGCATTACAACACGACGATAGCTCCAGAAGCAACCTCGTTCCCAGGGTCTCTCTTCTTCCCACCATTGGTCACGCAAGTGTGTTGCGTGACTACCCAAGAAGACCGTGTCACGTCACTGGGTGCAATTATAGGATCAGGAGATAAAGATGGGAAGGGAATAGAGTTAAAAATTGGAGTTCTAGTGATCTGACTTAAAATTTCTCCTTACTTTCTTCCTTACTTGCGAAAAATCACACTCTGTTCTAAGTGGGGAGGGGCAGGGGGTGGGAAATCCTTTAGTTAAGGGGGAGGGAAGTCTATGGGGGGGGGGGGGTGGGTGTGGGAGAGAGGGCAGAAGGAAGGATTCCCAAGGTGGCAGGAACCGGGAGAAATAAGAAATTTATTTGCAATATTGCATAATTTATTATAATAAAGTGCCAATATAAAACATGCATGCGTATTATGAGAGTACAAAGCACGGAGCTCACGAATGCTCGCGCCATCCGCTGAGTTTGTTTTGAAAATAAAGCGCGTCGCGCACAATATCTCGAGAAAAAGAGAGGACTGTTTTGCAGTCTATGTTTCTCCCTACACTTCTTTTGTGCTTGTGCCTCTTCCTGCGGGCTTTATAACAGAAAAAAGCATGTTGAGGCTTTTTTATTTGTTAAATATTTTGCAATAGAAAAAGCACAAAGAGGCAGGAACCACAACATAAGGGGTGGGAACTGTGAGAGTACAAGGTAAGGGAAGGGGGAAGTTCAGGACCCTCTGTCCCCCCCCCCCCCCCCCACTTCTAATGCCAGCTTTAATCTGTTCAATCAATAAATAATCAATAACTTTACTAGTGTGTCTTAGCTTCTAGCTGTCCACAAGTAGACTACTAATATTATTGGGGACACTTAGTTTACAAAAGAGCACAAGTAGAGCACAAGTATATGGTATTTTATTGTAATTTTATTTAATAAAATTACAATAAAATATCAGATACTTGTGCTCTACAGCTTTTAGTACTAATTAAGCTTATAACTTCAGCTAAATTGAGGATAGACAACTGAGAAGCCAAACAAAAAAGCGCTACCACATGTATTGATAAAGCAAAAACAATAGTCCATTTTACAGTTGTGTGCTTAGAATCCAGGCCTTTGAACAGAAGTGAGGCTGGAGATGACTTTGTTGTGATACAAACCTTCCTTCTTTTCAAATGTAAATTATTCTGTAATTATACATGGAGTTTTACGGTAGTTTCTGATCTCTATCATCTCATGGTCAGCCTAACCTCACTTTCATGCAGAGGCTTGGTTACATTTCACAGAACTGTAAAATAGTCTATTGAGTTTCTTCTGATTTATAAACAAAATTGAAGCTATTTGTATCATTGAAAAAACATTGCAACTAGACATAACTGTTCTTCAGGGTGTGTTACACTAAGCAGTTTTTCTACAAATTGCATGAAAAATTACTTTGTGTAATATTGTTTATTTTTTACAAATATCTCTTTTGTACTTATTTTGGATTTTTAACCCCAGGGATTGCAAACATGCCGCCATTACTCAAAATATTTAGGTGGCCTGACAACAACAACAACAACAACAACAACAACAACAACAAGGGGTTCTTAAAATAATTTTTTAAAAAGCTAAGCTTTTGTTCTGGCTAAAATAATAATTATTATAGTGACTGTACAGTAATATTTAGGTAGCCATGCATATTATTTTATTTAACAACGTAGCCATAAGGTAGAGTTCCAGTGCATAGAACTGCCTAATTAAAATAACACTCAAGCGAGTTTCTGAGAACACTAAAGTAACATGCGAGTCATCCCTACAATGCAATCGCATGTCTGTATTTTCTATTTCTTAACTGTAATTATATTGGCCTGCGTAGCTTGGCGGTTTTGTTGGTGTGCAATTTAAAAAATTTTAAGCAGTGACAGTGAGTAAACTGATTCATAAGCGGCGAAGTCGCAACAGTGAGTAAAAATTTGTAAGCAGCGAAGCCGCTACAGTGAGCGGCGCAGTCGCAATAGTCTGGGGCGGTAGCCCAGCTACCTTGCCGCTTACAAATTTTTATGTCGCACGCCAACAAAACTGCCAAGCTACGCAGGCTATAATGACATTAAAAATCCTGCTTGCAAAAGGTAGGATCTTTCATGGGCATAGCACTGTCCAATTAAGCCTTGGAACTTCCCACATACTGTACATGTACTTTAGACAGTACACGCACAATGTATCTGCAGCTAGTATTAATACAACTGTTCCCCTTGCTTTTATTTGACTTCCAAAAGGAAATGAACTGCTATCAAATTGTGCCGAGGAAGAGGCAGGCTGTGTCAATGAGGAGCAGAAGACTCGTTCATGTGAAGGGCTGCCATTCGTTCAATGTCGTCAAGACTAAGAGACGAGACCCATGTCTTAAAGTCCTGGATAATAATATTAAACACATCGCTATTATTAATAATAAAATAAGAAATTAACAGAATTAACACAACTTTAATTAATGCAAATGGAGGGGGAAACTGTTGAAAATGAAGACAAAATTAATGCAAAAGTGAAGGTAATATTTAATTCTGTTGAAGGAAATTAATGCACAAAGAAAACACAAAGAAATCCTAGCAGTATGTGGGAAGTTTGTCACATCCGAACCTAGTTATCTGGCCTAAGCTTCCATGAGTCTCCTGTAGCTCAGTGGTAGAGCGTCCGACCAGTGTGCGGAAGGTCATCATTAGATTCTACTCCTTTTGGGAGAATTCGGAAATGAAATTTCCGAGTAGCTTGTGTAACTGACTGATTATTAACATCTTTCTCACACTTTTTGTGATGACAACACAATCCAAAATTAATGTCATGATCCGCATTACATTGAAGAGCACCCTACCTTGGCACTCAACAAAGTGTTTGATTTATTGTTGACAACTTTTTGACATCTTTTTTGACAACTTTATGATGGCTTCCATTTAAACCAGCAAATCAAATTATTGCAAGAATTGTGGGAGGCGGAGATGTCAATTGTCAGAATGCGAGCATGGAGCTTGACAACTCCGCCTCTCATAGTTCTTGCATTTTGATTGGCCAGTTGAAACAAAAGCCATCAAAAAGATGTCAAAAAGTTGTTAAAAATATTAATCAAAAATTTGTCGAGTGGCAACAGTAAGGCGCTCTTCACTGTAAGGTGACTGGTTATTTGGGAGCAAACAATAAAGAAAGCTATCATGATAACAAACCTCTCTGAATTTCAGCATCACCCGTTCAGTATCCTGCTCACTGAAGTGACCTTTGAGAAAATCTCTCAGCAATCCAAAGAAGTCATTAGGATTTGCGCTACTGGCTTCATCACTTGCTTTTCTTATAGATAAGTGAAGTTTGCTTCCTTCCACGATCTGATACTCGCGTAAAGTGGAAGAATCTGACAGTGAGAATTTAAAAAAATATATGAATGTGCATGGAGACTAAAGGCCGGGCCTAACAGCGATGAGAGTTGCTGAGAGTTGGCTCGCGATAGTTTTCTTCAACTTTCGTCGACTATCATCATCTTGGGGCAAACAAGGGAAAACTCTCAAAGACTCTCAAGAAAACTTATCCCGGTTTCCATAGCATGAAACCGACTAGGAGTATTGCTACTCCCTAGATGGAGAGTCTACTATTTAACAATTAGATTATGAGCTCGAGATTTCTATGATGCGATAGTTGATGAGGTCGTATCACATCATAGAAATTGAGAGCGAATAATCTAATTGTTTTAGTAAAAATCATAAACAATTGTCTAGTATTAACTCTAAATCTTCTTCCGAAACTTCGGAGAAACGAGAAGAAACCGCAATTTTGTAGACGACCTCCAGCCACTGCACACTAATATAACAATAGAGTGTTTCTGTCGAGGAACTATCGGCTGATAGTTGCCCGCGGAAATTTTATGTTCTAAAAAACAAATATTAGCCCGAGAACGAAGTTCGAGGGCTTATATGCTAGTTTTTTAGAACATAAAATTTCCAAGGGCAACTATCAGACCGATAGTTCCGAGACAAAAACACTCTATTGTCGTTATTGTTCACCACTAAATTTTCCGTGCGGCGGCCTAAAACTGAAAACGACATGAATTTATTTATTTCGATTTCTAACACACAGCTGCGACGCTTGGAGCTTCAAAAATAGTTTTGCTTTTCAACTTTTGTCTCGTAAATACGTACAAAACTTTAGGTTAAACTTCGTTATTACTTTTTCAAAAGTTATAAATCGACTGAGTGATTTTTCAGTTCCATCTAAATGAAGTATGATTTGTATGAAAAACGGCGGCAAAACCTGGCGCGGGTTCCACCAAGTCAGTTGAATGAAAAGAAAGCAGGACTGACAAAAAGTTTTCTTCGGATTATTTCTTCGCTCAATCTCTTCTAAAGTTTCATATATTCTGGAAAATTGTGCAAATGATTTAGCACAAAATGGGAAGATCTGAAATAATTGTGGAGCTGAACATTATATTCATTTTATAAGTCAAACGGACTGAACGGAGTCGAAGGTTTCACTGCGGACAAACGCTTGACGAACTGCCGTATTTAAGCTTCGTAACCGATATTTATTGTGCTGATTCAAGCTGGAATTGACAAGCCTCTTGGAAATACAAGGTAACAATACTGAATAGGCTAAGCTTAAACTTGTGGTGTAAACAGGCTATCATTTTTTGGACGAATTTGTGTCGGTTTAACGATCTTTCCGTAAATTGTTTAGTGCTCTTTCATTCGCATTTGTTGTACATTTACAGGAATTTGCCATTAAATATTTCGTTCCAAACTTCGTGCATGCCCATATGTTATGAAAGAATTGATAGAGAGTAAATTCTCGCTATTTTTTAATTTATTCTTTCAACTGTTTAGCTCAAAACTGCACAAAACGGGTGTTTTTCGCTCGGGCGGGCACTATCGATCCGGGGTTTTTTGCCCGACGGGCACTATTACCTGACAGTGTCTCTCCGCGGATGAAACACTATCATGTCACGTGTTCGATTTAAGCCAATCAGAATCAAAGAAAATTTAGTGGTGAACTATAATGGCTGATAGTGTACGAGTAGCTCAGCCAATCAGATTGTCTCATTTGCATTAGTATACTAGTAGAGTTTTACTAACAAAATTTAGTTTCCAATCCTGGATTACTGTACACAAAATTGTACTTTCTCACTTCTCAAATGGAAATGGAAATAATGAATGTTATGCTACATGTAGCATGAGGATACACACACTATACCTGCCAAAGTTTTTCCTTTAAAAACTAATCTTTGCTGTAGCACAGGCACATCAAGTTTTTCAGACACAAGCCTCTTTACAAATGAGATCTGGTCATTTTCAGAAACCTACATGCCAAGAAATGAGTATGGTGTAAAAACATGTACTGATAAGGTCATATAATAACACAGAGTAATGGGGCCTCGCTCTTCTTTTGCTAGCATATTCATGAGTCCATCTGTGCGCCATTTGTAGCTTTAAAATCGTAGATTTGTTTCTTGGCATTTCTAAAGGCTTTGTAAAAGAATTGGTCAGTAATATGGGAAGTTTAAATAGGAGAGCTCTTCAGCTGGAATTCCTTCAGCTGGTTCTTGTGTTCACAACTTCGATGAACACACACTATACTATAAAGAATGGAACAATATTGATTTCTTCTCTTACCTCTAGCCGTACTTCTTGTCCATTCAATATCTTTACAGTAATCTGCATATCCTGTTCTATAAAAGGCTAGAGTACGAAGCAGAGGATTGAAATTAACGTGGACGGAACTCTGAGAACTACAAAGTCTTCGAAACTGAAATGAATCTGCGTGGCCACTAAGTTCTGGCTAGGTTCCCAAGCTGCGTTTCTCGTATCTATTCCTCTCGCCAACCAACCGGTCACCGCCGGCGCACACGATTTGTATGGGATTGGTGTCCATTTTTAACTCGTGAATGCATACCTATGAACGGGTTATCGCATTTAGGTGGGAGGCTAGCAGAGCTATGAATTGCAATAATTGTCAATCGAAACGTCTGTCTAAATGATTATTTTATTTAGGAGCCCATGACCCAGCTGAAGTATCCTTTCACGCCTTGAGTAAACACAACTTTCTACAATCACGTCCCCAGAGCCTGCGCGTGTTTGGTCAGCGGTGACCACCAAAAGGATCGCGGACTCTAGGTTTCTAGAGGTATTGTCACGCCAGCATAGCGTCATGTTGCTTAGCAACGTCGGGACGAAAACTGCGGGCTCTGTCCCGTCTCGATGGCGGGATTTCGCCATCAACTGGTACCAGGAGCGTACTTGTTCCCCAAACTGAGTATTAAGGATACACAATTAGGATGATATTTCTTCCTTCTTTCCAGCTCACTTTATATGTTGAAATCCATCTTTAGCATTTTTACGTAGTAATAGTAAAACTTTATTTCTACAGGATGGCCCACTCAGCTCAAAGGCTGGTATCTAGAGGGGCCCTACATCTAAAAAATACATTACAATAAAATTTAAGAAGCGAAAAAAGTTAAAAATACTATGCTAATTACAGTAACTAAGAAGCTAAAACTGAGTTAAATTGCCCCTAGGGGCACGGCAAACTCTTTCAACTACTTTAAAAATACGTTACTAAAAAGTTATGATAAAAATATGTTTTTGGGCTAGGCGGCAGAAAGTCTGTATATATGTGGTCGGCGTTTGCTAATTTGGGATGAAGTTCGTTATATATATTTTTTGCGGCACTAAAAATAAAGTGTTTTCCCAAAAATTTTGTTGAATCTTTGGGAGAGATAGTCTCCCGGGGATAGCCTAATGCTGTGCCTGGTTATATAGCTATGTATATTGCTAAATTGTAACGCCAAATTTGGTATTTTTTTTTTTAAATAACGATTTTAATTAGCAATATTTACAGACACAACAAAAACGGTTGTTATTAGAGCCGTTTAATGACGGCTTCATTAAAAAAACCGCGATTAATATGGTATGCACCGAACATGCAGCTGCCCAATGATAAGTTCAGTTTACTTTAATGTCGCCGTTTATTTACATGAAAACTTATTCTTTCTTTACCTTTATATCAATAGTTTAGTAAACTCAGTTCACTTGGAGACCAAGAGACCAGGCCTTGAGACAATTATTAGTAAAAATCGGCAAGCAAAGCTACGATGGACACCTCAGGGAAAGAGGAACCGGGGAAGGCCCAGAACAACATGACATGGAGAAGATCGACTGAGGGTGAAGCACAACAAACTGGACTGAGCTGGAAACAACTGGAAAGAGTGGCCAAGGACAGGGGAAGATGGAGATCTCTGGTGGACAACCTATGTTCCAATGGGAATTCAAGGGTTTAAGAAGAAGAAAGCTACCTAGTTCAGATACAAATGCATGGCAAAAAAAAGTGCCAACTGAGTCCTGATAAGCCTCTACAATAAACTATAGATTACTCACGCCCGGAGATGATTATCTATTCCTCGGTCTGCAATATATATACGAGGAGGGTAAAGGTCCAAATGAAAAAAGAGTAACGAGTATACCCTCCTGTATTAGCATGCACCAAGTCGATGGCTTAAACAAATTTGTTTAGATTAGGATTTTAACATCTCTCCAGTTAATCAGTCAATAAAACATAGTTCAAACTCAGTCCACTGCGACATTTTTAAAGCTAAGTAAAGTTATCGCCGATTTGTTCAGTTCCACAGCAGACACTGGTTCGCCATCAGGACCTTCTCCAACTGCCAACTTGAAATTGCTCTCGTTTCCATTTCGACTCGATTGCCTGCCGA